TCCTTATATATATGGAAATCTAAACATAATTATTAATAAATAAGTATAATAATAATTAAAAATTATAAATGGTCAAAAAATAAAAATAAAATAAAATAAGAAATATATATAAATGACGATATTAAATTAAAATTTTTAATAGTAAATTGTATTATAATATTTATTATGTTGATTACAATTGATTCAGTAATTTCAAATTTTTTTTTGGCAATCTACGGATTTAATTTGGTCAATAATTTTGACCAAATTAAAATGAATAATTTGAAACGTTAATTTACTTCAATCATTAAATTCGATCCAAATATTATGAAATATAATGCAATAATAAAACTATTTCGGTCATACATTTTAACCAAAAAAAATAGAAATTCATTAATAAATAAATTTGCCTTTTTTCGGTCAAATAATTTGACCGAAATATGGGTAAGAGAAATTTACTACCAGCCTCATTGCAGCAAGCTTCTTGACAGAAAATATTCTGCATAAAATATCAAAAATACCCCTCCCCTTTAATTCAGTCATGTAATAGTTGGGTCCAATGTTGCTTCCAAATGCATAAAATAAAAAAAAATAAAAAACAAGTTGAAGGCCGACTGCAACTAGGAAGAAAGAAGTGGAACAAGAATGCCAAGAAAAGTTTTCCACGCAAAACGGGCTTTAAATGTGTGGCCCAATTTATTGACCCATCTCAGCAGCCCACATCTACTCAGTTCAAACCCACGGCAGCCCTAGGATAAAATAAAGCCCACCTCAGCAGTTTACCTGCCACCGGTTCAAACTAGCCACACTCCCCCTTCACCAAAACACACCGTTTAAGCAACGTATCACTTGAAAAATCAAAAACACCCTAAATCCCCATTTTAGGCACGCTTTTTCTCTCCTCTGCAACATCGTCGATCAACTCCTCCACTTTTTTGTTTCGATCACGAAACAACCACCACAACCACAGCCACGGCCTCCACTTTTCATAACTTAAGTCCTCAGAAAGATAAAAATCACTCACAATCACCAGACATCAAATGATCAAAAGGAGTTCTACTAAGATATTTTGTGGTTTACTTCACATAATTTATGTTTCTTTTTTCATTTGTATTTACTGAATTGAACTGATTTACAATGAATCCGTTATCATTTCTTTGTCTTTTTTCTCTCTCTTTGGAAATTTAAAATTTAAAATTAGTAAAATTCACATCAGGCAGCTAATAAAGTTGAAGTGCAATTTATTGATGCAGCTTTAAAGTACAACAGTTCGCACACACAAAATAAAAACAAGAAAAAACAAAAAAATGTAAGCAAAAGAATACATAGCCAAAGACTATCACCAACAGATAAACATTCATCTTCAACGGATCCTCCTCATCATTCTCCTCCTTGACATCCTAATTCGGTAAGTCCTCATCAGCCATTCACATGTTCTTGCAAAAACAATGTTTCCAATCACCAAACTAACAAGGAATCCACATCCACAACCCAACGCCACTGCTTTCCAGCCAAATTCAGCTAGTAATCCAGAATCTTCATTTCCTTTAGAGTTGGAAGATGGTGGAGGCGAGGCCTTTGAATTGTCACATTTCCACATTTCCTTTACAGTGGCAATCCACACAATCCTAAATTCCCATCAAATGAGCTATTATCAAATATATCAAATTGTTGGCCTTTCAGGATAAATCCTGTCAAATAGTTGTAAGATACATTGAAAACTTCAAGGAAATTGAGCTGCGTCAGCTGCATGGGAATGCTTCCTACAAGCTTGTTTTGAGAAAGGTCTAGAGCTTCAAGATTTTTGAGATTTCCCAAGGCTGGTGGGTTTGGACCAACAAGGATGTTATTGGAAAGGTTGAGCAGTTAAGAGTCCCTTTAAGCTCCCTACTACATCTGGAATCTTTCCATCGAATTTGTTGCAAGAAAGATCAATGGTAGAGACAATCTCTAATACCTTTGCATATTCCATTTTCACTCCTTTGTTTGTTATTGTCATTGAGTAGGGGTATGGACTAGCACCAATTAAGCCATTCAACATATAATTGCCATATGCATGCCAATATTTTGTGTTTTCCTTATCAACATCTATCATGGCACTCCACAAGTTGAAGTATTTTGTTGGTAGAGGACCAACAAATCCATTATGAGAAAGGTCAACAATCTGTAAATCAGGAAATAAGGAATTCTGGAACATTAATTGCACCATAGAATTTGTTGAAGTGCAAAATGAGAATCTTCAATCTAGGAAGAGTTCCCAACCAATAAGGGAAGGTATCTCTGATATGATTGTTACCAAGATTAAGAAACTCCAACATTCTACAATTTGCCAATGATCTTGGTACCTTTCCTTGCAGATTAGTCTGTCTTAATTTAATCACTTGTAGATTGTTTCTAGCTACCGCAGACAAGACAAGACATTGTCTTTTTCAAGAAATAATTTGATCTAAACTACTAATCGAGAATAACATTGATTTAGAAAACTCAAACAGCTTCCATGATGCATGTTGTAAACCTCTCACCTCAATTACTCATCTCTGGTCTATGGGCTTGATATATGTCACGGTGCTAAGGTTATAGCCAGCATTACAATGCTAGATAGATAAATTTGCACCAAGCCAATTGAGGCATTTATCCATTCAAAATTGAATCAAGAAATAGGCAAACCATATTTACAGAACACAAGAAAAATTCCCTGGTTGTTTCCTATCAGCCATGCAAATAAGCAACTGAAATGCAACAAAAATAT